ATACAAGAATGAGGAAAAAGCGTGATTTATGATGGTGTCTTCTGGAATGCTTGATTATGTAGGAACTTTTCCTAACATTAATTAGAAATTGGCTAGCTCAAGGTTGAAGTGTTTCCTGTCTCCTTTAAATTTGTTTTTCTTTAAAAAGTCATTTGTCAGGCTCTAATTACTCATTCCTAGGAGTAAAAATCCAAAATACCTTGTCAGGCAATTAGACTGTCTGTTCTCTGATTGTCCTCTTGCTTGATAAATTGGTTGAGGAAACTAGCTTTCAATTCCTTTAGGTTGGATGTAAAGCTAGATTTTTATTTTAATTAATTAACTAATTAATTAATTTTTAGGTGAGGCAACCCTTGGTTGACCTCACAGATTGCAAGGACCTTGTTAGCTTACAATCCCTTATTTTTTATTTATTTTTTATTTTTTATGCCTACAGCGCCCGATCTTCCTAGATGGTCTCCCATCCAAGCACTAACCAGGCACGACCCTGCTTAACTTCTGAGATCAGATGAGGTTGAACTTGTTCAGGGTGGCATGACTGTAGACAAAGCTAGATTTTTTTTCAAACGAAGCATTCTTTATGAGTTTCTTCTTTTAGCGGGGCTGACAAAGTTGTCTTTATATCAACTTACAAGGAAGGAAACATTTCCTCCAGTTAAAAGTTGCTAAAACTTTTTTTGTAAAGGCATCACCCCTTGTTTTGAGTGGCCAGTAGTATGGCACTTGATGGTTTATATTTCTTATACTCTGAGGACAATTGTGGGAGTGCAAGAATGTTGCATAGTGAGGCGTGATTTCTTTTTAGTGTCATTACTCCAGTGAGCTTCCTTCATGGAGCAGAGCAATTGCTCTGTATATTGACGTTTTTGAACTAAGATATGTATCAAGACAGTTGGTGAGATGCTGAATGCCTTCCAACTCTGAAATTATATGATTCTTTGAACTTATCAGAATTCGAATCCAAACTGCAATTCTCAAAAAGGATACTGAGCTGCAAAGAGATTGGCTGGAAGCCATGTAAAATAGTCGAGAATGAGATGTTTCTGATTCTAAGAGATCTTTTATATCTTCCTTTCCCCGAAGGCTCTTTAT